CGGCGGATCGATGTAAATACCGATCTCGCCCTCGCCAGACCAATCCGAGCAACTGGTCTGGCCGACAAGACGCACGAGGCGACGTGCGTCCAGCCCAGGGGTATCAACCCCCAATCGCGCGCAACCTGAACCCAACGGTTCAGCATCAGCAGCAGCAGCCACCATCGACTGCCCCAGTACGCAACGTCATGAGCAACATGGCCATGACAGGCGAATCGCGTCGTCGCCGCGTGCGCTCACCTTCACCTGAGCCCGCACCGCACCCCATTGGCGCGTTCAACAACAACAACCCCTTTAGCCCGAGCCATGACTTCACCGACGACGACGCCCAGGACTGGAATCTCCCAGTCCCGCTGCTTGAAAGTCCCCCGCACGTACCTGATATGCGGGTGGCGCCACTTGACTGGCTCTCGCGCGAGCAATTTCTGAAGTTCGACACTCCGCACATCGTCACGCCGCGACTGGCGCTGCTCGCACGTGACGACAACAAGCGCTTTAACACCTGGTACCTGGATAGCTGCTGCGGCCAGCATATGGTAGGCTCCGAGCGTTACATATCCAACGCCGTCGCCACCCCGACAGTCACCTACGTCACCGTGGCTAACAACACACGCCTGCGCGCAAGTGCGCAAGGCATCGTCGTGCTCAAAGCACGCGGAAGCCGCACGCACATCACGCTCAATGATGTGCTGATCGTCCAGAACCTGCGCTTCAACCTGCTCTCCGCCGCACAGCTCATGGACTGCGGCGTCGAACTCAGCACGGATCGCGCAACACGCGACATTCTGCTACACTACGAGTTCCAAAACTTCCCCCGCAGGCAGATCGGACGAGCACACTCCGAGAATGGAGTGTATGTCCTGGACTTCGACATCCCCGTTTGCAGCGGCGACTCGCACGAGTTAATCGACCTCGTGCCACTACGCTTCGAGCACATCCACCGCAGGGACTGGAAACACCCTGACGGAAGACCGTGGGTGCCGCACCATCCCCACCCACGCGAAACGGCGCTGCACGACCCTGACGCAGACGGAATCTGCAGGGATTACCACACGCCGACCACTTCAACCAGCGCCGTTGCCGGCCGCGGACTGGCCGCCATCGCCGAAGCAGAAGTCCACATGCCGCCAGAAGAAGGCATGTCTCAATTAGAGCTCGAAGTCACCACGCATGGCGTGTTCGGCACTCCTGAGCACCCTCTAATCGGCCCCCCCTCTCAACACCTTCGAGGGATGCTCCGCGGAACTGGCGTCGGCACCTTCGATGCGCGCAGCGTGCCACGCCCCTACACTCGCGAGGAATTTCTACAGATTTACCCCCATTGGCGCGACCCCACGGCAAAACTCACCGTGGAACAGGAGGAAGAATTGGCGCGCCGCGAAGCAGAAGAGCTTCACCAACAGAGCCTCGTCGAAGCACGCGGAACATTCGCTTGCACCGCATGGGGCGCCTAAGCAGAAGAGAGCGCCTCCAATGAAGGGGGCTGGGGGAGCGCCGGCGGACGGGGAACGGCTGATACCAGCGGATGGGGCTACACCTGCGGAACCTGGGCAACCGGAACCGGCGGATGGGGCACCGCACCTGGCGGCGAAACAAGCGGCTGGGGCGCCTCTGTTGGAGGCTGGGGGACTTCCCGCGAAGAACAAAAGGGGGGAGAACTTGCAGCTGTTCCCCTCGGGCGTCCCCCGCGCCATATCCCACTCGCGTCACCTCCCCCTGACATTCCGCCGCACCGCGATCCCTGGGACACTATCCGCTGGGGCAACGAACCATCAACTCCACGCCGCACCGTCTACGGACCTGCTCCCGAACCGCGCGAACCCACTACCGTCCCCGGATATATGCGCACCTCCGGCTTTCGCGCCGACGATGCACTTTGGCACCAGCGCCTCGGACACCCTTCACGCGCGACGTTGAAGAACTGCATCGATGCCGAAGTCTTTGCCCCAGGAGCATTGCTCCGCCCCGACGGCACCGAAGTGAGAGGCGCGACACACCCGCGCAACTGCACCGTCTGCCCCGAAGTAGACAAGGGCAAGGTCAACTTGACCTATTGCCCGACCGGTGACATGGCAGCGGACTTCCTCACAAAGCGACTGCCACGCCAGCAGTATCTGTCAGAATATTATGCTCTAGCCTGCAGTGGGGTGCTCTATAGCGAGTACAGCCCTTCTAGGGTTAGCTATTTGTACCACCGTTGTTGCTAGTGCAAACCCCTCTTTTCGTTCAAATCTCTCTTGCCTAGCTAGGGTTCTCCTAGCTATGGCCTCTCACTGTACCTACTATTTCGACATGGTATTAGAGCGGTTACGCTCTTGGCCTGTGGGCCCCACTACTGCTTCCGCTGCCCTACTCTGTGCCGCGCGCCCCGTGGCGCGCGGCCTTCAATTTTTCATCCCGCCGTGCGCTCGGGGCGCGCGGCGGTTCCCTGCCCGCCGTGCGCGCCGAGGCGCGCGGCGGTTTCCAGCCGTGGGGGAGCCCGCGCGCACCCCGCCCGTCCGTCGCGGCGCCCTGGGGAGCACTCGCGGCCCCCACCCTGCACGTCGCGTCGCCCCCGTCGACCCTAGCGTCGCCTCCGGGGACCCGCGCGCACCCCCCCACCGTCGACTCGCCTCCCGTCGCCCGTCGTGGCCTGCGCGCGGCCCGTACAGCCGGCGCGCGGCCCGTACGGGCTGCGCCAGGCCTGCGCGCGGCCCGTACGGGCTGCGCCAGGCCTGCGCGCGGCCCGTACGGGCTGCGCCAGGCCTGCGCGCGGCCCGTACGGGCTGCGCCAGGCCCGCGCGCGGCCCGTACGGGAAGCGCCAGGCCCGCGCGCGGCTCGGGCCGCCTGCGCGCGGTTCGGGCGGCTGTGCCAGGCCCGTGGGCGGCCCGTTCCTCGCTGCCCCTGCCCTCCCCACTGTCCCCCGTGCTTCTACTGGCGCCCCACCCCTCCTACAGCCCGTTCTCCTGAATTAGGGTTTGGGGGTGAGGGGTATGGGGGTGAAGACACTGCGTGCCGTTCCCTGCTCCTCCTCCTCCTCCCTAGTCTCCCTCTGCTACAGCTGCCGCTGAGGGGGGTGGTGTGTGGGAGCCTAGGGTTTGGGGTTTAAGGGGGGTGCCGTGGGAATGGAGCTAGGGTTTCAGCAGTGGGTGTGTGGGGGGTGTGTGGGGCAGTTGGAGGAGGTTGAGCGGAGGTTGCCGTCGTGTCGTCCGCAGCACCTGTATTCCGGGGCCTTTCTCCTCCCGGTAGCTCAGAGAGCCGGTTGCACCTGTCGCCCGTGGGTCCGTTGCTACTGTCGCTGGCTGATCAGTTGCAGAGCCTGTTACTCCTGTATTCCGGGGCCTTTCTCCTCCCGGTAGCCACCAGCGTTGCACCAGAGCCGTCTGTTGCCCGAGTGTCTGCAGCTTCAGTCGTCGCCTCCACTCTTCTCTCATCTCACCAGCCCTCCTCCTCCTCGCTTGCCCTCTGTGACAGCTTTAGCTTTACCCATAATTGTGAACTTTAAACTTTTGCTTCTTGTTCATGTGCTCAGAATGTGTGGTGACATCGTGATCCACCCTGAGCTTGTACTGCTTTGCTTGCTGTGCTGATTACACCCCACTTTGGCTATGGGGGTGTGTCAGAATATTATGCTCTAGCCTGCAGTGGGGTGCTCTATAGCGAGTACAGCCCTTCTAGGGTTAGCTATTTGTACCACCGTTGTTGCTAGTGCAAACCCCTCTTTTCGTTCAAATCTCTCTTGCCTAGCTAGGGTTCTCCTAGCTATGGCCTCTCACTGTACCTACTATTTCGACAGTATCAACACTGCTCCGAACTCAGCGGCGTGGTCAAACAGGTCAAGTCGAGCTACGGCCAGGAGTGAAGGGGGGTGTTACGAACAGTAATATTTGGTTATTACGGTGCACTCCTCACCGTAGCAAGGGAAGCATGCAGTATCGAGAACGAACACGAAGAGTCAGAATTGACTCGAAGCGTCAGACGGTTGAGGCACATCTGGACCGTCGGAGTAAACGGCATCGGGCAGCTACAGGCACGATGATTTCGGCGGGAACAGTTTCGCAACTGTACGCGCCGCACGGTTGGGAATGAATTTGAATAAGGGAATGTACCCCTTAGAGTACATGGCTAGCTAGGTCGCTTCGTCTTCCCTGTACTCATATTTATATTTGCTGTATTTGCATGTTTTATTCATCTCAAGCATTTTACATTCACTCTGCTATTGAGGTCAAAGGCCCACCAACTTCACTTCCCTGTGCGAACCTTCCCGAGTAGATCCTGGGAACGATCAACTTTCTGATCGCTACAATACGTTTGTGTAATTTGACTGTGCGGTAGGGTGCAAATGCAAGGAGCATGCTGGAAAAGATGAAGAAGAGGCAATTGATGGGGTACAAGGGGGAGAGATCTCGGCATTCCCAATGGAAACCCGTAGAGCCTTCCTGCTCAGTAGAATATTCCAGCCAATGAAAACAAAGAGCTCGACCCCTAGATACGAGCTTTATGTTTGAAAGTGGAGGTTGCTTACTAGCACATTCATGTTAGCTGAATGAAGCTGACTGTGACAGCCTCATCTGAGTGCCAGTATCGCGTACAGAAGAGTCACAAGAACCACAACCTTTTTGAGAAGTGAACGGCCAATAAGCAAACATCGATGTGCCCACGTGGAGCGCGCGTCGCCACGAATATTCCCTGCTGTGACAGCCAGCAGCGGCACTCCAGCTCGTGCGCATTCACTTTGCGGGGCGGGCAAACCCTCAACCACAGGAAGCAGCAGCAGCAACACCAGAAACATCACATCACAAGTTCGGTTGGGAAAACGGAAATTCTTTTCAACACCTGTCCAGTTAGGACACTCTAATCACTACTAGCGCATTGTCAACCATCCCTTGGTTTCTCCGCATTCCCTCCACCGCATCCACCGTGAGCATCCCCTCGCGCGTTGCTGCAGGCGAGCGGCCGTCCGTTCGTCCCGTCGGCCGTCCGTTCACCCCGTCGACGGGCTGCCGCGCGGCACGCCGCCATGGCGGCTCGATCCATCGCCGCGGCAGTTCTCGTGTCGTCGCCGCTGCCGCCGCGCGCGGAGATTTGCGCTTCTACCGGGGCTGCGAGCAGCGGTGTTAGAGGGCCTCCTAGTAGGTCTATTAGCAGCACCACTGCGAGGCAACGGCGCGCTACGAAGCGGACAGAGGGTGCGACGGATGCGCGCCCCGTCGTTTCGCGGAGGAGGCGGCGCGGTTTGCAGAGAGTTGCGCACCTCTCCGCCAGCGACGGCGCGCAGCCGAGCGCCGATTCCGCGCGGGCAGTGAGGGCGGAAGTGTTGACAGTGGGGCCACTGCACTCCTCGCGCGGGGACGAGGAGGGCGGAGAGAGGGCTGGGGGGGAAGCCAGTTGCGCGAGCGGTGGCGCGCTGCAAGAGGGGCTTGGGGGCCGGGGGGACGGAATCGCGGGGCAGGCGGACGAGTGGACGGCGGCGGATGAGGCGGAGCTGATTTCGCGGGCGGTGGGCGGGGCTGTGGGCGGGGCGGTGGCCCATAGCGCGGAAGCGCATATTGCCGGGGTAATGTGCGCAGGCGCGGGGGCCGCGGAGGGTGCGGAGGCAACATGGGTGAATCGGGGGGCGGAGGGGAACGGGGGGGTGATTCTGGCGGAAGAATCTGAGGCAGGGGGGGAAGGGGGGGAATCTGAGATGGCGCGGGGGTGGCTGGAGCTGGAGCGCGCGCAGCTGGAGCTGGCGATGCGGGAGTCGCGCGGGGAGGCGGAGAGGAGAGAGGCTGAGGAGAGAAAGGCGGAGGAGGAAGAGGCGGAAAGGGGGGAGTGGGAGGCGGTTGAGGGCGAGGTGGCGGCGGGGGAAGCAGGGCGGCGGGAGACTACGGGGTTGGGCGAGGACGAGGGGGAGGGCGGAGGCGAGAGGGGTGAGCAGGGTAGCGTTTGCGCGGATTACATGGTTGGGCTGTTGGTTGCGCGGAAGGGCTCAGAAGGCGCGGGGGAGAGCGCGGAGTGGCGGGGGCGCGCGGATGCAGCTGGGGGCGGGGAGTGGAGCGACGACGAGGCGGTGGCGGTGGAAGGCAGACCGGCCGCTTACCCCGCCGCCCTCAACTGTACGTGCCGTGTGCACCCACGCCCTCTCCTCTTAACGTGCAGCAGGGACGGCTGGGGAAAGCACTGAAGAACAGCAAGGGCAGGCGCGCAGGGGGCTGGCGTGGCTTTCCTGCCCGCACAGCACACTGCGGGCTGAGCTGCACGTGTGCTCCGCTGCAGGTGGTCACACTGCTGCCGTCGCTCCACACTGCTTCACTCCGCGCTGCCCCCTCTCCCCGCAGCTCTTCCCTGGGTGCCAACAGCCCGTCAACCGCCCCTCTCCGCGCTCCACTCCCCCACTCCGCGTCTCACTCCCTCCCGCTCCCTCTGCGCCGCTCCTGCTCCCTTCGACTCCCCGTCCTGTGCCACCGCCCTGCCCCCCTGCTTCCCCCGTGCAACCCCCTGGGCGGCACCTTCCCTACGCCCCCTGGTAAGTGCGGGCAGCACAGTCTCTGACCTCCCTATTCAACGTCTCAGTCTATTCCAAACTCACTCCCGCCTTCCCTCTGCCCCCCTTCCACTGCGGCTGCCCTCCCCCGCGCCCTCCTTCCCCTGCTCCCCCCTAAGCGTCCTCCCCACCAACACTCCCCAGCGCTGTACATGTCGTTTGTCTTCAACTGCACTGGTGCATGGAGCACGGCGCTTCACCAGCGCCCCCCTCCTCTTTTTCTCCCCCTGCGTCATCCACACCGCCCCCCCTCCCACTGCCTCCCAGCGCTGTACCTGTCGTTCGTGTTCAACTGCTTCGTGGAGCATGCATGGCGCTTCACGGGCGCGGCTCTGCTCGCGCTGCTGCACGACTCGCTGCTGCCCGTCGCCGTCGCCAGCTTCGCCAGCCAGGTGTGGTTCCACGCGATCCACGCACAGCTGTAGGCTGTCGCGATCCACGCACAGCTGTAAGCTGTCGCGATCCACGCACAGCTGTAGGCTGTCGCGATCCACGCACAGCTGTAGGCTGTCGCGATCCACGCACAGCTGTAGGCTGTCGCGATCCACGCACAGCTGTAGGCTGTCGCGATGCGAGTCTGTTGCTGCCCACATGGCTGTAGCTCATCCCAAGGCCTGTCTGTTCTTCTCCTCTGATTTGCCCAGCCCCGCCCATTTCCCATCCCCCTCTCACCCCTCATCCCCGCCCCGTGCCATCCATTCGCGCATCCTCGCATGCCTCCCGCCTCGTGTCCTTGCATCTTCCCCATTCCCTCATCGGACCCCCCCACTCCACATGCATGTGTCCGTGCACCGCACCGCACCGTATCCCCCCCGGGGCAGTTGGTGGTGTTCGTGGGGGCGCCATTGGTGGGCGACATGATGGACTCCGCGCCCAGGGTGGCGGCCTTCAACACCATCTCCTGCATCCAGGTACATACCTGCGCCACTCCCACCTGCGCCACTCCCACCTGCGCCACTCCCACCTGCGCCACTCCCACCTGCGCCACTCCCACCTGTGGCAGTCTTGCAGTCCACATCCACTGATGCAGCTGCGTTGAGTGACAGTGAGGTGCACAAGTGGATGTGGACAGTGAGGTGCACAAGTGGATGTGGACTGGACTGGACTGGACTGGACTGGACTGCACGAGTGCCACCATCGAATTGCCCGCACCCGTGCTGGCACGACAGTGAGACCCATTCCCTGCGACCAGTCTACCCCATGGCTCCTTCCTTCAACCATCCATCCCCCGCTCCCACATTCTTCCCCTGCCTCCCCCTCCTCCCTCCCACAGACACCAGCACCCATGGTGGGCAGCAGCGCTGCCCACGCTGGCAGCGGTGCACCCGTCACAAGCAACAGTGCTTACCGCGCTGCTCCCCCGTTCTTTGCCCCACACCCATCCCTTGTCCCCCCCGCTCCGCCCCCTCCCTCATACAGCTGCCATAATAATGGCAGCTGACTTTTGGGTCGACTCAAAAGCCATACTGACCGAGGTGCCCATGGTGGCAGCGGCTCTGGCCACACAAACAGCAGCGCACGCGGCCCCAGCAGCAGTGCTTACCATGCTGTGCCCATCCCCCGCTCCCCCCTGCTTCACCCCCCTCCCCTCCCCCACTTCACCAGGCAGCAGCCATGGTGGCATGGCAGCAGTGCTGACCAAGTTGCTTCCCCCGTCTTCTCTCCCACGCCCATGCCTTCTCTCCCACGCCCATGCCTTCTCTCCCACGCCCATGCCTTCTCTCCCACGCCCATGCCTTCTCTCCCACGCCCATGCCTTCTCTCCCAAGCCCATTCCCTGCTCCCCATCCCTTCCTACCCCCTTCCCCCGGACGTTGATCAACTATGGTGGCAGCAGCGCTAGCGCTAGCAACGTTGACACAGGTGTGCGCGGGACAGGCAGCGGTGCTTACCACAGTGCTTCCCCTCTTCTCCCCCCGCGCCCACGTCCTGCTCCCCCTTCCCCCGCTCCCCCAGACAGCAGCCATGGTGGCAGCAGCGCTGGCCACGCTAACAGCAGTGCACGCGGCGCCAGCAGCGGCAGGGCAGACGGGGGCGGCACTGATGAGGAGGGGGTGGTTCGTGGTGCTAGTGGTGGCGGGCGCCGTGGAGCGCATCACTGGCATCGCCTCTGGCGTGGCGTTTGAACGCGACTGGGTCATTCTGGTAAGGCGATGGGGGAGAGGAAGGAACGTGAAGGAGGGTGGGGGCCAGGGGAAGAGGTTGGGTGGGGTTGTAGTTGCTGTGCTTGTGTCCCTACCTGCAGTGCATTTACGTGATTTCATCCCCACTCTCTTCACCTCTTGTCTCATTTTCCTCTCCCTTCATCTCGACCCATGATTTTAACTTCTCACCCCGCCACCCCATCCTTGCTCGCACCTCACCCCCACCCGCACGGCAGCTGGCAGGGCAGGACAACGCGGCAGCGCTGGCCAATGCCAACGCCATGCTGCGCCGCGCCGACCTCTTCTGTGACGTGCGTGAACCGGGGTGCTGTGCTATATGGGCGTGATTGTGGCCAGGCTGTGAGGCCGTGAGCCTATGGCATCAGCTTCTATAAGCCGATTGGCCTATGTGTCTCTATTATTCGGTTTATCAGCCTATCGGACGTGAGCCTCTGTCCTCCCTCGCTTCTCCTTTCGTACTGTCTTGTGCTTCCCGCCTCGTACACCAATCACCCTCGCGCAACCCCCAACTCCCGTTCACAACATTTTCCTGCTTTCACCCCTCCCACCTCCGTCCTATCCCATGGTGCCAGGTGGCAGGGCCGCTGGTGTTTGGGTGGCTGCTATCAACGTTCAGCCCTGTGGTGTGCATCAAAGCCTCCCTCGCCACCATGCTGCTCTCCCTCCCCATCCTCGTGAGCTGCTCTCCCTCCCCATCCTTGTGAGCTGCTCTCCCTCCCCATCCTCGTGAGCTGCTCTCCCTCCCCATCCTCGTGAGCTGCTCTCCCTCCCCATCCTCGTGAGCTGCTCCCTCCTAGGGCTCCCCTTCCTGCTCTGGAGTGTGCTGCCGTCGTGCTCTCTCCCGATAGCCCGTAAATGTAATAACCAGGCTTTTAGCCTGTTAAGTCAAGGCCTTGTCTTCACCAACCACGCACCCCTAGCCCCCACATTCTCATCGTCCATCATCCTTTTCATCCTCATCTCCATTCTCCCCGCCCTCCTCTCTCCCCCGTCAGATCTGCCTCGTGCTGCTGACCGACCGCCAGTCCAATGGCGTGCTCAGCCGCCCCAAACAGCCTGCGGCGCTGCACAACTCACTGGAAACTGCCACCACGCACTCTCAGCAGCAGCAGCAGCAGCAGCACTAGCCAGGGGATACAGAGAAGCGGCAAGGACGGAGTCGCTGCGTCTTGCGCTGCTGATGCCGCAGCAGGCAGCGACACATCCACCCGCTCACCCTCCCCTGCCGCCAGCATTCCGCCGCCCACGCTGCTCCTCACGGCAGCAGGCAGGGCTGTAGGGGTGGCAGTCATTGGGAGCTACCGGGCAGCAGGGTCGGTTCTGGGGATGTCATTCCGGTCCGTGCTGCGCGGCTGGAAAAGTTTTCTCGGGCAGCCAGTGCTGCCCGTGAGTGTGGCGTACGTGCTGCTGTTCTTCAACTGCGTGCTCTCACCCGGGGGCCTCATCACCAGCTTTCTCACACAGCAAGGTGAGTGGGCCAGTGCGAGTGACTTTTCGAGGGACTGTGTGAACTGCTGGCTCAGCACGGCACGAGTCAAGGGTGGGGGCTTGCGAGTTGGCTGTGGTGGGGCATGCCTGGTGGGGCATGCATGGTGGGGCATGCATGGTGGGGCATGCATGGCGGGGCATGCATGGTGGGGCATGCATGGTGGGGCATGCATGGTGGGGCATGCATGGTGGGACACGCATGGTCGGGCATGCATGGTGGGGCATGCATGGTGGGGCATGCATGGTGGGACACGCATGGTCGGGCATGCATGGTGGGGCATGCATGGTGGGGCATGCATGGTGGGGCATGCATGGTGGGACACGCATGGTGGGGCATGCATGGTGGGGCATGCATGGTGGGGCATGCATGGTGGGGCATGCATGGTGGGGCATGCATGGTGGGGCATGCATGGTGGGGCATGCATGGTGGGGCATGCATGGTGGGGCACTGGGTTGAGTGAACCATCCCTTTCCATCACACCTTGCTCTCCCCATCCGCCTTATCCCTCCATCTCACCATCTCACCATCTCACCGTTGCTCCACCTCTCGCCCCCCTAGGTGGTCGGTGCGTCCCGTCCTGCCCTACTCGCCCCATTCGCCCATCCCTCTCCATCCCTCTATTAGAAGAGAGAATTGATACATTACACAATGAGCCAAGAGGCCCTTTAGTACAAACAATGAGCAAGAGAGAGATGAGAGGGAAGCTTACCCTATTGGCCAATAAGTTGGCCAATGGGTGAGCTTGCTTGTGGCCCAAGCAACCACAAATGTGTGTTGGTTGGGATTGGTTGAGCTAGGGACCAATCCCAACCAACCACAAAATGTGGTTGGAGGGTACACTAAGCAACCCCCCAATTTATAAATGTGCTACACTTCTAGCCTATGTATGTTGTATAAAATATGAGATTACAACACAACCCCCCAACATGCATAAGGCTAGAAGGCCAGAATCAAGAGGCGGGCGGCGACTTTGGAGGAGTGAGACCATGAAGACGAAGGAGTGAAGAGTGAGCCGCATGAGGAAGAGCTTTTGTGAAGATGTCGGCAAGGTTGGCCGCCGAGTCAACCTTGTCGAGCCGAAGGTGCCCCGCCTGAACAAGATCGCGAATGAAGAAATGACGGAGCTCAATGTGCTTGGAGCGCCCGTGAAACACAACATCCTTAGTGAGGTGAATGGTACTGGCATTGTCACACCAGATGGTGGGACAGCGCTTGGGGGTACCAAGTTCTTCAAGAAGGAAAGTGAGCCAGCGGGCCTCTTGCGCAGCCATGGTGGCGGCATACAACTCCGCCTCGCAGGAGGAGAGGGCGATAGCCGAGGAGCGAGTGGAGCGCCAGCTGATGAGGCCGCTGCCAAGAGAGAAGCCATAGCCCTGGGAGGAGCAACGATCCGGCTGGGAATCAGCCCAGGAGGAGTCACTGTAGCCGCTGAGGAGAGGTGGGGAGGGGCCGCCAAGAGTAAAGACATAGTCCTTGGTGCCACGAAGGTACCGGAGGACACGCTTGGCGGCCTGCCAGTGCTCTTCCGTATGCTTGCCTGCGCCAACAAAACGGGCAAGGACGCTGATGGGGTAGGCAAGGTCAGGGCGAGTGGAGACCATGGCGTACACGAGGGATCCGATGAGCTCTGGATAAGGATGAGAGGAGGTTGAGGGGGAGGTGGATGGAGAGAGATGGTGCTCGACTGAAAGAGGAGTATGTTGGGCACCGCCCCGGGCCATGTCAAACCGCTCCAAGACCTGCTGCAAGTAATGACCCTGGGAGAGAGAGATGGTGCGGGCGGAGCGGTCGCGGGTGATGGTCATGCCCAGGTAATGCTGCAGCTCTCCCAAGTCTTTGCACTTGAGACGGCTACCCAACTCAGCCTTAACACGCTCCAATCCAGCAAGGTCGGCGTTGAGCAGAATCATGTCATCGACATACACAAGGATGTAGAAGGGGGAGGGGGAGGTGCGGAGGAAGAGGCTGGCGTCAGAGCGGGAGGTGCGGAACCCAAGTTCAGCAAGGGTGGCGGCAAGCTTAGCATGCCACTCCCTAGGGGCCTGTCGGAGCCCATACACTGGTCGACGCAACTGCCAGACATAGTCTGCTGGGAAGGGAAGGTGAAAACCGGCTGGACGCTCCATGTAGATAAGCTCGCGGAGGACGCCTTGTAGAAAGGCGTTAGAAACGTCCATCGAGTGGATCTCCATATTGAGGCGAGCGGTGAGGTCGAGCACGGCGCGAACGGTAGCAGGTTTGGCGGTAGGGGAGAAGGAATCGAAGAAGTCAACAGCATACCGCTGTGTGAAGCCCTTGGCACAGTAGCGAGCCTTGTAGACGGGCGGCTCTCCTGGTAGCTGCTTGACGCGAAACACCCACTTCCCCTTCACCACGTTCGTAGAGGAGGGAGGGCGAGGGACATCAACGAAGGAGGAGTTGGCGATTAAGGCCTCCAGCTCCTTGATGATGGCGGCGAGCCAGAGAGGGGCGGCGGGGCAAGCCATTGCCTCCTCATAGGTGGTAGGGATGAAAGTGGAGGGAGCAGAGGAGAAGGCGAAGACAGGTGTGCCGGAAAGGTCGAACGTGATGGGTAGAAGCGAGGGGTCACAGAGGTGGAGGTCAAGGAACTCCTCATGGGAGTCTTCGGAGAGGGAGGTGTGGAAGGCGGGGATGGCTGCTGGTGCTGCTGCTGGTGCCGCTGCTGGTGCTGGTGCTGGTGCCGCTGCTGGTATTGCAGCTGGTGCCGCTGCTGGTCCTGCTGCTGGTGCCGCTGCTGGTCTTGCCGTTGGTGCCGCTGCTGGTGCCGATGCGGACGCTGCTGCTGGCGCCGCTGCTGGTGAGGGAGAGGTGGCAGAGGGGACTGCTGTAGGAGGAGGTTGATGCAAGACAGCCTGGAAGAAGTGGTGAAGGAGAGGGGAGAGAGGGGGGAGGGTAGAGGTAGAGAGGGTAACAGGGGAAGGACGGTGCGCGGAGGAGGGGAAGGACGGGTCGGTGGCGAGGGAGGGGAGGGGAGGGGGGAAGGGCACTGGAAGAGGAATGTGTGGGGGAGACAGGAGAGGACAGAGGTTTCGGGTCAAAGATATCACCAGACGAGGGAGGGGCACCGCGGGACTGGGACGACGGAGGGGGCGGAGGCGGGAGGATGGGGGGAGGAGGGAGTAATGGGGGAGGGGTGGTGTCAGACCAGACAAGGGGACGGGTGAGAGGGGAGAGTGGGTCAGTGGATGGGGGAGAGGTGTAGTAGGGAGTGGACTCATCAAAAACCACATCCCTACTGCGGACTAGACGACCTGAGGGGGGATGGAGGAAAAGGTAGTCAGGTGAGGTGGGGTTATGACCAAGAAAGATGCAGGGAAGGGTACGAGGGGCAAGCTTTCCCATAGAACGGGAGCGGTCAGCGGGGTGAAGAAGGACATAAGCCTTTGAGCCCCAGACACGAAGAGATGAGACATCAGGCTTGTCCTTTGTCCACAGCTCAGTGGGAGTGGTGGAGGGAAGAAGGGGGTGAGGGTAGAGGTTAGTAAGGAGGGCGGCATGAAGGAGGGCGTAGCCCCACAGAGAAGGGGGGGCAGGAGGCGTGGACAAGAAGACACCGGACTGTTTTGGTGATCTCCCGAACACAACACTCAGCCACGCCATTCTGCTGTGGGGAGTGAGGGAGGGTGTATGTTTGAAGAATGCCATGAGACTGACAATAGGAGGAGACTTGGTTGTTAAGGAACTCACCACCACCATCAGAGTGAAGGTGGCGAACAAGGCGCCCTAAATGGGTGTTTGCCTGCTCGAGCCAGGCGATGATCGCAGCCGGGGCATCCGCCTTCGTCCGAAGGAGAGAGACGGACGAGTACCGACTGTGATCATCGACGAGCACGAGAAGGTAGTGATGGCCCTGGCGAGTGGGAGAGGGATTAGGGCCCCATAGGTCCATGTGAACAAGATCAAGTGGCTGGGCAGCAACGGAGGGGGAGCTCCGGTGCGGCTGCTGCTTGAGCTTGCTCTGAACGCAGACGGTGCAGGGGGGGGGCAGGAGATTTGGGGAGGGGAGGGAGGGAGGAGGGGAGGCCATGGAGGAGATCGGAGGAAACAGAGGAGCGTAGAGTAGCGAAGTTAGGGTGACCTAGCCTGTGATGGAGGAGGATGGTAGGGTGGGAGAGGGAGCGACAGGAACAGTCAGAGTTAGGGGGGCGGGGGGGAAGGGGTGGGCTAGTGGGAGGGAGGGGAGGGGGGGGAAGGAGAGAGGGAGAAGCAACTTGGCAAGTGGGGGGGCGGGGAACCCGAAGGGTGTACAGACGGGAACGAGGACAGAAGGGAATACGGGAGAGAAGGCGACCTGTAGCAGTATGGTAAAGGGCACAGTGGTTAGCACCTCCTGGGAAGACTGTCGTGATATTGGCTTGTTGGAGGGACCTTTGGGAGAGGAGGTTAGTACGAAGGGAGGGAATGTGAAGACCGGTGACAGTACCTGAGGGAAAGAGAGGACAGGGAAGGGTGGAGGTGTTGTGATAGGGGATGGGAAAACTGCTATCGGCACCAAGGAGGGAGGTGGGTGCGGGGAGAGGGCGCAGTGTACCAGCGTCACGAAGGACAGTGTCAGTGGCTCCACTGTCCAGAACGAAGTCAATGGTGGAGGAAGGTGAGGCAGAGTACTGGAACGACGTTTCATTAGCAGAAGAAGGGTACATGGGAGATGCAACAAATTGAGGTTGACCTAGCAAACCGACAAAACCAGAAGAGGGGAAAGCGGTCACACTGCCACCTGCAGACAGTGCCGGAGATGCACCCGAGAGATGGGCTACGGAGGCAGCATTCCCGGCAGTCCATGTGGGGAAGGGCTGCTGCTGGGAAACGGGAGGAGGAGGGAGGAGGGGCAGCTGCGGCTGTAGGGCGAGCTGCTGTTGGAGATGCTGGAGCTGAGATAGGAGAAGCTGCTGCCCATACTGCTGTGACCCCTGCTGCTGACTCCCGTGCTGCTACTGCTACTGCTGCTACTACTACTGCTGCTGCTGCTGGGGAGGGGCGAGAGCCTGATGGGCCTGGGTGGAGGAGGAAGGTTCATAGAGGGGAGAGGAACGGACCTCAAGGGGAGTGGGGCGAGGGTTGAGGGCGGACCAGCGAGGAGGGGTGCCGGTGTTGCCACGGGCAAACCACTCATCACTGAGTGCCTTGAAGCACGTCTCAGTGGCATGGGTGGTTTGGCCGCAGCGCTGTCCCTGAGTGGGACCGTAGCGAGGCAGGTACTGACAGGGAGGAAAGGTAGCTGCTGCACCACGACCTTACTACCGCTACTCGTGCCACCGCGACCCGCGGATCTGCCTCGTCCACCCCCACGCCCACCACCACGCCCACCCCGACGCCCACCGCCACGTCCACCCCGGCTGCTGCGCGACTGGGCTGCTGCAACTGTGGAGGAAGAGTGGCGAAGGATCTCAGCTTCGGTGGTGATAATCCACTGAGCGACTTCAGCAGGGGTGTGGTGCTTGGAGATAAGTTGCATGTAAGCAAGCTTGTGAGCGTCAAAGGCAGGTGTGAGGCCTTCGAGGAGGTGGCAGCAGATGACGGTGTCCGGGGTACCTCATCGAGTGCTGCAAGGCGCCGAGCGAGGTCTAAGACACGGCGAGTGAAAGCAGCTACGCCATAAGTGGAATCCATGGAGAGAGTTTCAAACTCCTTGATAAGGGCGTAAAGAGTGGCAACGTCCTGCCCATCGAAAAGGTCGACCAGCAGTCGCCACAGGTGGGAGGAGAAGGTAGGTGAGAGCTCGCGTTTGAGGAAGGAGGGGATGGTGGCGAGAAGAATGGCAAGCGCGCGTCGATCAGTACCCCGCCAGACAGTAATTTTCGTGGTGTAGTCTGCAAGTTCTGCAGTGTAGGTGTCCAGGTCCTCCTGGTACTTGTTGTAGCGGGCAGCGGTGTCGTCATAGATGCGCCTGTCGTCCTCGTAACGCAATTGCAGGCGCAGGTGCTCTTGGAGATTGGTGCGGTATGTGCGAATGGCGGTTTCCGAGCTCTGCGGGTCGTTAACATTCGGCGCAAAGGTGGGAGGTGTCAGAAATAGGCTTAGAAGCGATGCATTAGTAATGAGCTTGAAGCTCTTTAAGTACATCCAAGAGGGGTAGGAAAAGGATGGGGAAGGGAATCGGGGGCAATCTCTAGGGATTGGGGGTAATCCCAAGGCAATCTCCAATTGGTGGGTTGGAGATTGGTTGGAGATTACATTTGGGTTTGGTTGGGATGTAGGTGTACACCCAACCAAACACAATGTGCAAACTACACTACTCTAGGATATAGAAAATACAAAGTACAAATTGTGAGATTGAAGACTAACACTAACAGGAGGATCACCGGGGGGAGAGGGCTCGGTGCCAGGGTGGGCAGGGGCAGGTCCAGTAGGAGCGGTGGGGGCCACGGGCTGAAGTCCACCGCCTTCCTGAAAGACAACCGAGCGAAGGTTGTAGCCGCTGACCACAACAGAGGAGAGGAGCACCTCGATGGAATGAGCATAAGAGTGCCAATTAGCAGCAGAGTTGTCAGGCAGCAACTCGAGTGCGTCAACAGTGGCAAGGTCGACGGAAGAATCGGACGACGATGCCATAGAGATGAGGGTGGGTAGAGGCTAGGGCAGGAGGAGGATGGTGGGAGGGTACCGTTGCCAGTGCTGCTGCTGGCCCTGCTGCCCGTGCCGCTGCTGGTTCTGCAGCTGGTGCCGCTGCGGATGCTGCTGCGGGTAGGATGGGAGGAGGAGGAAGGGAGGAGCGGAGGGTGGGGAAGGTGGAGGAGGAGGAGGGCGATGCTATGGGGGATGCAAGGGGGAAGGGTGCTGCTGGTGGTGCCGCTGCAGGTGCTGCTGCTGGTGCTGCTGCAGGTAGGATGGGAGGAGGAGGACGGTGGAGGAGGAGGGCGATGCTATGGGGGAGGCAAGGGGAAGGGTGCTGCTGGTGGTGCCGCTGCTGGTGCTGCTGCTGGTAGGATGGGAGGAGGAGGGGAGGAGCGGAGGGTGGGTTGGGTGGAGGAGGAGGAGGGCGATGCTATGGGGGAGGAAAGGGGGGAGGGTGCTGCTGGTGGTGCCGTTGAGATGCCGCTGATGATGCTGCTGCGGGTACAATGGGAGGAGGAAGGGAGAGAGGGGGGGGGGGAAGGCGATGCTGCGGGGGGGGGGGGGGACGAGGAGGGCAGCCGTGCGGCAGATCCGCGCGACTGGGAAGCCCGTGGCGAACGCACGCGGGACAGCCTGCGGCAAACGAGCGGGGCGTGCAGAGATGGGCGCGAAATGGTCAGATTTCAGCGCGGGAGATGCAGATCTGGTCGCGCGGAGTGCAGATCTGGGCGCGCGGAGGGCAGATCTGGGCGCGCGGAGGGCAGATCTGGGCGCGCGGAGGGCAGATCTGGGCGGGCAGAATGCAGATCTGGGTGCGAAATGTTCAGATCTGGGCGGGGGAGGAGGAGATCTAGTGGTGCGGAATGATCAGATCTAGGCGCGGGAGGAGTAGACCTGGTCGCAGGGAGTGCAGATCTGGGCGCTGGAGTTGCAGATCTGAGCGCGGGGAGTGCAGATCTGGGCGCTGGAGTTGCAGATCTGAGCGCGGGGAGTGCAGATCTGGGCGCTGGAGTTGCAGATCTGAGCGCGGGGAGTGCAGATCTGGGCGCTGGAGTTGCAGATCTGAGTGCGGGGAGTGCAGATCTGGGCGCTGGAGTTGCAGATCTGAGCGCGGGGAGTGCAGATCTGGGCGCTGGAGTTGCAGATCTGGACGTGCCTTGGAGGGCAGCGCCTTAGGGGGCGCACGGGGAGGGAGGACAGCGCCTAAAGGGTGCGTGAAGCAAGGAACAAAAATACGGTCATAATAAAAAACGGCCCGTTTTTTACGGTCGTTTTTTACGGTCATTTTTCTAAAAATACGGTCGTATTTTATTGGAGTTTTTTTCAAGGGGAATTTTTCCAGAAAGGTCCAAAAAGCATAAGATGTGGCAGTGGGATGATCAGCACAGAAAGAACACTAACAAACAAGCCTACAATGGGCGACTGCCCCTAATTAAACTACGAACACCTCTACATCTTCTTCCCCTACCGTCTATCCCACGATTCCTACCCTCCCTACCTACTCTTCTGGTCCTCCCCTACCACCTTCCCCTATTTAACTAAGCCTCCCCCCCCCTCTACATGTTCCTCATCTCTACGGTTTCCCCCCACCCACTTAACCCTACTGCTCCTCGTCCTCCTCCTCCTCCTCCTCCTCCTCCTCCTCTTCCTCCTCCTCCTCCTCCCCACTATCACCATCGCTGAGATCCCAAGGATCGCTGCCATCACGTGTTTTCTTGCCCGTCTCATCCTCCTCCTCCCCCCCACTGCAGTCTGCCGCCTCCTCTTCCTCCTCTTCCTCCACAACTTTTCCCTTCCCCTTTCCCTTGCATGGACCGTTTCCCTTCCCCTTCCCCTTCCTCTTCCTCTTGGATGACTCTCCCACCTTCGTCTTCCTCTTCTTCTTGCCAATGCTCCCGAACTCCTCCCAGTTGATGGTGGTGGAGACTTCCTCCTCTTCCCCCACAACTGCAGGCCCTTCTTCTTCCTCTTCTGCTGCGATCGGGGCGACGGTGCAGCCCTCCTTGAGGGTGCCGTCGGTCAGGTCACGGTATAGCTTCTCACGCACACCCTGCCTTCGATCGAAAGCGTCACGTGCCCTCCTGGTGAAGGCGACGTAGGTGACGTCGGTCATCTTGGTGGCGGCCAGGCGGTTCCGGTCCCGCCTCTGCACACGAGCAAGGGCGGACCAGTAGCGCTCCACCTCGGACGAGGTGACAGGCTGTGATAGGGTTGTCACAGCCATTTCTTGAAGCGCCTGGACCTCACCCACGTACATCCACCACCATTCCGCCTCAGTCAGGCGCCCCCCCTCCACCAGAGTCGTCGCTGCCCAACGGGCGTCATCGGAGCCAAACCGCCCCTCTCCTTTGTGATACTGGGCCAGCTGCGCGTGGAGCAAGGTGCGCTTAGCGACGTCCCCACCCCGGGCCTGGATGACTTCATCCGCCCCTCTCCTTACCTCGCGGTCGTTTCTCACCTCCCCCGAGTACTGGTTGCGGGGGTTGAGAAGCCATCCCATCGCCTGCAACGCATTGTGCAGCTGGCCGTCCCACCTTTTGGCCACGATAGCCTTGATGGTGGCCAAGAAGGCGGGTTTGTCCTTTGCCGCCAACAGCCCGGTCCGCTTGACGAAGATGGCAGCTGTTCAAACAGGAAAACAGATACGATGTAAGTAACTAATGGTGTGTGTGGGGATGGCTGTCACGTCACGATTGCATAGTCCACGGGTAATTTAGCAAGCAACTTACCAGCCGCCTCGGCTGCTTCGTTTGTTTTGACTGTCGCCTCTAGCATGCGGCCATAAATCTGCCCCATGCTAACCGCCCTCCTGTCCACGGCCCGAAGCACCTCATACACCGGGGTCATGAGGCGAAAGACTGCATTGGCTAAGTCCCAAAACAGATCATCCAACAGGAGCTTGCGAACCGCCTGGCCCTCCGCCGTCCGTGCCACCGCCACCTCCTCCCACTCGTCACTAATTACCATCTCCCGAAGCGCCTTCTTGACTTCCAAGAAACGGCCGAGCATTATCACTTGGGTGCCAAACCGCGTCGCACCGGGGCGGACCAAGGATAACTTGCTGAAAAGCTCTCGGAAAAGGACGACGGCGGAGGCGCTGCCCTTCACCATCATCACCACCCGGTGTACTTGGGCTAGGACGCGTTTAACCGTCCGAATCCTACCAAAATCGTGCAGCATCAGATCCAGTACATGCGCGGCGCAGTTCGTGAAGAACACCTGCGGAAAACCGTCAGCAAGCATGGACGCCGCCCGCTTGTTGTTGGACGCGTTGTCCATAACCACCTGCACGACCTGCTTGTCCCCCACCGCGCAGATTGCCTTGCGAATTAGAGCCGCGAGGTACTCGCCAGTCTTCTTTGCAGTTTTTGAGTCGACAATGTCGACTATGACGGGGGCCGTGTCGTTCATAGCAATGTCACACACCATGCCACGAGATTTCAGGCAAGTCCACCCGTCCACCGAGAGGGAGCACCCGCTTGTGCTCCAGCTGTCCTTGATCGGCCTGGCGAGGTCTTCGGTGTCCGCTTTCAGCTTCTCAAGCAACGGGCCCGACACCTTGTAGGGAGTAGGGAGGGTGTACGGCTTGGCGTAGATCACGGCCGCGTCAACAAACGCTTGCAGCGACTTAGACTTCGAGACGTTGAACGCCAAATCGTTGTCTGCCATAGCCGCAGCCCACAGGTAGTCAAGACGGGCGCGAGCAAGATCATCCGCCATGTCGCGGATATCACGCTGCCTTGAGCGACGTGCGGGCTGAAGCGCGACTGTGGACGAGGAGGCCCGGTTAGAATTAGAACAGCCCCCGGAGGTGGAACGTTCGCGCTCGGCTTCCGCTCGAAGAAGCTCCGCGACATCAGAAGTGCACATCGTCACGTTCTTAAGTTTCGTAGCTGGAGTCCCGTAAATGTGCTCCGCTCTTCGTGTCGCGTTAGGAGTAACGGCATCCCCGCAATGCTTGCATGTAGCCGTAACTACGCCGTTGATAACCTCCTTGATCACGTGCTTCCAAAGGTCAGATACAGGTCTCACCATGGCCTGCTGATGTGAATGAGATAGATGAGGTAAATCTGAAGATAGAATGTGTTGACTCGTTTCTGCTGCTCCTATTAGCACCTTGATGGGCCAAAGGCCTCGGCATGCGTTGTCGAGTGGAATTTGGTGCTGGGCTGATGAGAGGGATGGATAATGTGGAACTCTGATTGGCTGAAATGAGTTCGCATCGCGAAGGTTGGGTGTGTCGCGCATGCGAGCGAAAACCAAATATGGGGGCGCGAAATTGTGCAACGACTACGCGAAAAATTCAAACAGTTGGTGTCAGCTCGCCAAATGTCTGAATGTCGCGCCACACTAAATTGAACTCGTTCCGCATCGGCGAACGCCCGAAACGCCAGAGCGAAACAAGTCAACAGAAGTTGACTGGTCGCCAAATGCTCAAATGTCGCGCTCCTGGTATTTCCCGAAATTCGCGCTTCGGAAAAGAAACCACGTTCTACTGGATTTGTGGGTAGGGAACTGAACCTGAACGAGTGACGGTTGGGAAATTCGCATTTCCGATAGTGTGTGCCTCGTTTTCAAAATTGCGGTCGTAAAAAACGACCGTATTTTATACGAAACATAAAACGAACATATCAACCGTATTTTACCGTTTTAAACGACCGTAATTTACGATACCGTTTTTTACGGTGAAATTATAAAAAAACGACCGTCATTTTGATCCTTGGCGTGAAGGGAGGGCAGCTCCGTGGGTGGGGCTAGATCTGAGGAACGGGGAGGAGAGGGTGGCCTAAGGACCGAGGGAGGAAGGCGTGAGCCATTAGCTCTGATATCATGTTAGAAGAGAGAATTGATACATCACATAATGAGCCAAGAGGCCCTTTAGTACAAACAATGAGCAACAATGAGGCCAGAGAGAGATGAGAGGGAAGCTTACCCTATTGGCCAATAAGTTGGCCAATGGGTGAGCTTGCTTGTGGCCCAAGCAACCACAAAATGTGTGTTGGTTGGGATTGGTTGAGCTAGGGACCAATCCCAACCAACCACAAAATGTGGTTGGAGGGTACACTAAGCAACCCCCGAATTTATAAATGTGCACTTCTAGCCTATGTATGTTGTATAAAATATGAGATTACAACACCCTCTCCATCCCTCTCCCTCGCCACCCCCAGGAGTGCAAGTGTCCGTAATAGGGGCGTTCAGGGGCGCGTGTGCCGCCACCACCTTGCTCTCACCGCTCCTCTTCTCTCTCCATCCTGCTCCACCTCTCTCCCACTCTCAGGAGTGGACGTGTCAGTGATAGGCGCCTTCAGAGGCGCGTGTGCCGCCATGGGCTTCGCCGCCACCTTCCTCTCGCCCATCATCATCACCCGCCTTGGCCTGCTGCAGGTCAGTCAGAGGGTCGTGCTGCAGGTGACATGAGAGCGAGGCCTGCTGCAGGTGAGAGAGGGGCATGGTGCAGGTGAGGGAGGGGCATGGTGCAGGTGAGGGAGGGGCATGGTGCAGGTGAGGGAGGGGCATGGTGCAGGTGAGGGAGGGGCATGGCATGGTGCAGGTGAGACGTGCTGGCTTTCATTAGCTATCCTGCTGTTCCTCCCACGACCTCCGTCCCACCATTCCCTCTCACATCCCCTTGCGCCTCCAAGCGCCTACGCCATGACCCATCTCCTCGCCTCCACTACGTGTCCTCTTCTCTCCACCAACCCTGACCTCTTCTCTCCACCAACCCTGACCTCTTCTCTCCACCAACCCTGACCTCTTCTCTCCACCAACCCTGACCTCTTCTCTCCACCAACCCTGCCCTCTTCTCTCCACCAACCCTGCCCTCTTCTCTCCACCAACCCTGTCCTCTTCTCTCCACCAACCCTGTCCTCTTCTCTCCACCAACCCTGCCCTCCCTCTGCCCATATTGCACCCCCATCCGGGACTGCCCCCCCTCCACCTCAACTGCCCCCCCCATCCATTCACACCACCTCACCCTGCCTCTTCCCCCCACCCCCATGCACCAGGCGGGCGGAGCAGCGCTGCTGTTCCAGTCGCTCGTGCTGGCGGCGTCCCTGGCAGTGTTCGCTGTCTCTCACTCCATGCGCCATAACCACTCGCTGCTCCTCGCCTTCCTCGCCCTCATCGTGAGTTACACCTGCTGGTAGTCAACCATTCTACTAGTTACTTATCCTAACAGGTTACCCTATCGCACGCTACCCCATTCGAGAGTTACCCCTGACACCCCACAGCACGCTATGTACAGAGCAGAGTCCCCCACTGATCCAGAGCACACCAGAGCGCCATTTCTTCCGTCTTCATCCCAGCGCTAGCAAGGCCGTGCGTCTTTATGAAGAGCCGCAGTGCTGCAGCTCCTGTGGACCCACCCGTACCCACTCGGTGCAGGTGCGATCCCATCCCATGTGGGCCACTGGACACCTCTTCTACATGCTCGCTTCCACCCAAACCCCCCCGCATGCCCCTCTCTCCCCACCTGCTATCCCGTCTGGGCCACTGGACGTACGACGTGGCGGACACGCAGATCTTCATCAGAGGTCCATCAAATCAAAGTCGCACCCTACTCCCATCCACCCTCTCCCCCATGCACGCCAATCCACGCCCCTACCTGCAGGTGCTATCCCGCCTGGGCCACTGGACGTACGACGTGGTGGACGCACAGATCTTCCAGGTGGCCATCCCGCCCGCGCAGGCCAACATAGTGGGCACCACGGAGGTGGCGTTGGCCAGCCTGGCGGAGCTCGTCATGCTGGCCCTCGCCATCGCCGCCCACGACGTGCGCCACTTCGGCCTCCTCGCCGCCCTGTCCGCTGCCGCTGTCTTCGCTGCGGCCGCCATCTACTGCGCGTGGGAGCGGTCGGGCAATCATCATCGTAGGAGCCTCTTTCCGCCCGAGCCACGGCTAAGGTGGTGGCCGTGGGGCCGGCGCAAGAGGAGAGGCGGCAGGGCGGGTGGTGGGAAAGGGGCCAGGGCAGGAGCACCAGCTGCACCAGCTGCTTAATCACGATTCCTTTTTGCATTGGAAGGACGACACCGTAGTCGATCTTGTAGTGTGGAAGCATTATTCCGATGGGTGTCCAGGGGAAGCTCAAACCCCTTTCTCTGAGGCGCAGTAGTCATCCCCTAGTGTCGGGCACTTGTGGAAGGTAAACCTAGCAGTGGAATTCAGTACGGTATGCTCAATCATACTGGCATGCACATCTTTTCGCCACATCACAAGGCCTTACTGACATGTACCGTACAGCTTGCCCCTTCGTCCAACAGGCAGTGTCCCATGCTGCCATCTCATAGGTGCACTGGCAGGCAACACACTATTATTCAACAGCAGGAAATCAACACATCCCCCATCTATGTCCACATGCTCCTATTGCTTCTCCTGCAAGCGTACAGCCAGCTGTAGCCCACACCTTGCGCAACTGAGTGCAGCAGCAGCACCCAACACAAGCAATGCATCCCCCCGGGACAGCAGCGCTCGTAGAAGCGTACACGTGCACTGCACTGCACTGCACTGCACTGCACACGTGCCTTAATTTCGTTACCACCTGCCCTCTGCGTGTGCACGGAGACTCCCACACATACGGCACCACATGCATGCAGGTGTGGCCCCCCCTTTCGCTAGCACGGCATTCATCCACACCACCACCATCACCAGCTGCCCCCCACCAGCATCTGCAGCAGCAGCAGCAGCAGCAGCAGCAGCAGCAGCAGCAGCAGCAGCATGCGCGCCATCAGCAGCTGTCCCGGACGGCAATGCGGGCCGCAATGGCATCCTCCAGCGACCACACCGCCATCTCAGGGGCCGCGATCTTGAAGTGCTGCCAGATGGGGAGGAGGGGGAGGAGGGGGAGGAGGGGGAGGAGGGGTGGGTGAGTTAAGAGGGGGGGTTTGGGAAGCAGGGTGTGTGAGGAGGGGGGTGAGGAGGGTCAGGGACTGGATGGGGGGTGGGGATAGGGGGGAAGAGAGTTGGGCAGGCATGAAGCCAAGAGAGGTGCGCGACGGTGCCACAACGCATGAGCACACACCTTGATGACATCAGCCTCAGAGGCTGACGTGGAAAGCTGTGCCAGGTCCACCTCTGTGCCCTTCACGAGTGCCCTCACTGCCGCCAGCTGCACGCAGTGGGAGGGATGAGGGAGATGAAAGCTAAGAGCGGGGAGTGAGGGCGGGCAGCGACAGATGCACTTGTATGATGCCAGCTGTGATGCCAGCTGCACAGAGGCCGGCGCTGAGAAGAGTGGAGGGAGGAGAGGAGGCGGTGGGAGGGCAGGGAGGAGAGGAGCGAGGAGAGGAGAACTGGGGAGAGGAAGGAGAAGGAGAGGAAGATAGGGGGAGGAGGAGGTCAGGTCAGCTGCTATGGCAGCAGTTTGGGCGCAGTGACGGAGGAGGGAGAGGAGAAGCGAAGAGAGGAGAGAGAGGGCAGCTGGAGAGGTGTGGGATGGATGGAGGCCACTTGTGCATCGCACCTCATGCCATGCCTCCACAAATCTTCCCAAAACCCTCCCCGCACTCCTTACCTACCCTCCCCGCACTCCTTACCTACCCTCCCCGCACTCCTTACCTACCCTCCCCGCACTCCTTACCTACCCTCCCCGCACTCCTTACCTACCCTCCACGCACTCCTTACCTACCCTCCCCGCACTCCTTACCTACCCTCCCATTACCCTCCTCGTACCCTCCCGATTAACCTTCCCCTACCCTTACCCCAGCCTCACCCTCCCCTTACCTCCCATCAAGACTCACCTCATCCTCGGTGGCATCGAATCGCGCAGCCAGCAGGGCGGAGGTGCCGGCTGCCACGCCACAGCGCTGCAGTGACTCGCGGATCTGAGGGTGCGCAGGGGTATGGAGGGGCAAGCACAGGCACAGAGGGCAAACTCAGGGGTGGGAAGGGGAGTACGGACAAGAGCGGCAGAGGGGTGCAGGACGAGCAAGAGAGAGGGGCTGTACGGGTTGGACGAGCAAGAGAGAGGGGCTGTACGGGTTGGACGAGCAAGAGAGAGAGAGGGGCTGTACGGGTTGTGGCTCACATGCTTGGAGGCGGCATGGTTCAAGACTCACATGCTTGGAGGCGGCATGGTTAAAGACTCACATGCTTGGAGGCGGGATGGTTCAAGACTCACATGCTTGGAGGCGGCATGGTTAAAGACTCACATGCTTGGAGGCGGCATAGTTAAAGACTCACATGCTTGGAGGCGGCATGGTTCAAGACTCACATGCTTGGAGGCGGCATGGTTAAAGACTCACATGCTTGGAGGCGGCATGGTTCAAGACTCACATGCTCGGAGGCGGCATGGTTAAAGACTCACATGCTTGGAGGCGGCATAGTTAAAGACTCACATGCTTGGAGGCGGCATGGTTCAAGACTCACATGCTTGGAGGCGGCATGGTTCAAGACTCACATGCTTGGAGGCGGCATGATTCAAGACTCGCTTGCTTGGAGGCGGCATGGTTCAAGACTCACATGCTTGGAGGCGGCATGGTTCAAGACTCACATGCTTAGAGGCGGCATGGTTCAAGACCCACATGCTTGGAGGCGGCATAGTTAAAGACTCACATGCTTGGAGGCGGCATGGTTCAAGACTCACATGCTTGGAGGCGGCATGGTTAAAGACTCACATGCTTGGAGGCGGCATAGTTAAAGACTCACATGCTTGGAGGCGGCATGGTTCAAGACTCACATGCTTGGAGGCGGCATGGTTCAAGACTCACATGCTTGGAGGCGGCATGGTTCAAGACTCGCATGCTTGGAGGCGGCATGGTTCAAGACTCACATGCTTGGAGGCGGCATAGTTAAAGACTCACATGCTTAGAGGCAGCATAGTTAAAAGACTCACATGCTTGGAAGCGGCATAGTTGAATACGAGCTCTGAGTGCAGCGTGCGCGACTTGAGGGACCCCGTGGCTGCTGACGTCAGCGCCTTGTGTGCTGCCACAAGCACAGGGAAAGTTCCAGGAACCTGCAAACGGATGATCAAATAAAGGGATGATGTGGAGGTGAGGCGGGGAAGTGTAAGAAGATCACACGGCGTGCGCGCTTGGAGCACATGGTCACAAGATCATGAGGCCAGCGCACGCACATGCATGCGCGCTTCAGAAATGAATGCTGGCAAGCGCACGTGCATGCATGCAGGGCTTGATGTGAAGCATTTCAACGGCCAGCAATGCTGCCTGTCACTGCATGCGCATTCATTCGTTACAGTCACCTCACCACCATCTCATCCATTCATTCGTTACAGTCACCTCACCGCCCTCTCATCCATTCATTCGTTACAGTCACCTCACCAGCCGGGCATTGAGAAGAGCCACTTCAGACTGCATCGTTCCGCTCTGCAGTTGACTCAGCAAGTCCCTGCAGGGGCGCCGGGGGGAAGGGGGAAAGGGTGGCGAGGAGTGGAGCGAGGGCAGGGGATGGGGATGGGACGAGAGCACGAGTGGAGTGGGGCGAGGGCAGGGAGGGGGCGAGGGAAGGGAGGGGGCGAGAGTGAGGGAGCGTGTGGACTTGCTTCCTCCAATGCAGTGCCCGTGCTGCAGCTTACGCAGCAGCAGCCTTCCGTGTGTGGGAAGGGGGAACGGAAGGGGGATTGGGTGGAGGGAGAGGAAGGAGGGGATTTAGCGTGGGGGGGATGGAGAAGGGAGGGAGAAGGCGGGAGGTGCGGGAGGTCGGGTGGGTGTTGGCGGATGGGGGCAGAGGAGGGATGGCCGGGGTGGAGGGGGTGAGGGGCGCCGCCCACACAGGGGTTGCGCCGGTCAAGGGCGGTTTCCGCGATGCAAGGCACTCAGCAGAGTCTGGCGGGGGCAGTAGGGGGGAAAAGGAACGACCGGGGTGCGCCATGAATGCGCGCTCGTGGGGTCGGGCGCAACGGCGGGCGAAGAGCGAGGGAGAGACGTGTTGAGCATGGGCAGAGGATGGGCGGAGGATGGGCGGAGGATGGGGGGAGGATGGGCGGAGGATGGGCGGAGGATGGGCGGAGGATGGGCGGAGGATGGGCGGAGGATGGGCGGAGGATGGGCGGAGGATGGGCGGAGGATGAGCGGAGGATGGGCGGAGGATGAGCGGAGGATGGGCGGAGGATGGGCGGAGGATGAGCGGAGGATGGGCGGAGGATGGGCGGAGGATGGGCGGAGGATGAGCGGAGGATGGGCGGAGGATGGGCGGAGGATGGGCGGAGGATGGGCGGAGGATGGGCGGAGGATGAGCGGAGGATGGGCGGAGGATGGGCGGAGGATGGGCGGAGGATGGGCGGAGGATGGGCGGAGGATGGGCGGAGGATGGGCGGAGGATGGGCGGAGGATGGGCGGAGGATGGGCGGAGGATGGGCGGAGGATGGGCGGAGGATGGGCGGAGGATGGGCGGACGCGGTTGCGAGGGCGGGAGTTTGCGAGGGGACGGCGCGGGAGGGTGCGAGGGGAGGCGCGGGGGGACGTACGCGGAGTTGGCGACGTCATGGAAGAGCAGCACGTGCAGCGTGCGCCCGGGGAACGCCTCCAGCTCGAACGCCGCCATGCCCCTTCCTGCACCGCGCTGCGAGCGGCGCGCGGCGAAAGGCGTGCGACGAGAGGTGTACGGGCTGTGTGCGGCAATGGTGTCCGCGGCGGCGAGGGATGCGAGGCAGTAATTAGTGGGCTTGCGCTCTTCCTACGACGAGTGAATTTCAAGGGCGGGGACCAGGGCGGAGCGCGAGGAGAAATGGCCAGGCCGACTGCTGCTGCGGTCGGATGGATAGTTGCAGCTGGTGGTGCGTTTCGCTGCTGCGGTGCGCGATCCGCGACTTGTGTGCGCTGCTGCTGTTGCAAGAATTGTGGCGCTGCGCTGTCGCTGCCGCTGTTCCCGGGTATGCTGCTGCTGCTATCGAGATCGTCTATCGCGGTGGCGGGATGGCAGATCCTACATCGCCGAGCGACGCTGCTCGGCTGATGCTGCTGCGCGCGGGGAAGGAGTAAGGAGGGGGGAAACAAAGAATAAAGGGGTAGGGAGGGGGGAAACAAAGAATAAAGGGGTAAGGAGGGGAAACAAGGCGTAAGCAGGGGAAAAAGAAAGATAGAGCAGGGGGGAAACAGAGCATAAGATAATGGGTGACACAAGCGAGAGAGGGGGGGGGGGGGGGGGGAAGAGGCTAACGAACCAGAGGGGAAACAGAGTGGTAAGCAGGGGAAAAAGAAAGAGTGAGCAGAGGGGAAACAATGGGCAAGCAGGAGATAGGACGGGGAATTCGCATTGCCTTGGGGCCGGAGGTGCGATGTGAGAGAGGAACAAGTGGACACTGGAGAATGCAGCGGGTATGGAAAGGGGAAAGATGCGTATAGGACGGGGGAAGGCAGGGCGTAGGGAAAGGGGAAAGCCGCCAGTAGGAAATGTGGGAAACCAGCGCAAGGGGAAGCGGGGAAGCAGCGCGAGGGGAAGCAGGGAAGCAGCGCGAGGGGAAGCGGGGATGCAGCGCGAGGGGAAGCAGGGAAGCAGCGCGAGGGGAAGCGGGGATGCAGCGCGAGGGGAAGCAGGGAAGCAGCGCGAGGGGAAGCGGGGATGAAGCGCGAGGGGAAGCAGGGAAGCAGCGCGAGGGGAAGCGGGGATGCAGCGCAAGGGGAAGCGGGGAAGCAGCGCGAGGGGAAGCGGGAATGTAGCGCGAGGGGAAGCGGGGATGCAGCACGAGGGGAAGCGGGGATGCAGCGCGAGGGGAAGCAGGGAACCAGCGCGAGGAGAAGCGGGGAAGCAGCGCGAGCGGAAGCGGGAATGCAGCGCGAGGGGAAGCAGGGAAGCAGCGCGAGGGGAAGCGGGGATGCAGCACGAGGGGAAGCGGGGATGCAGCGCGAGGGGAAGAAGGGAAGCAGCGTGAGGGGAAGCGGGAATGCAGCGCGACGGGGATTTGCCTGTGGAAGTGCTAGAACGCTGGTGCGCTGTGAGAGTGCCTTCCAGGACAGCGTTGGTAGAGGGGGAACTTGCCGCTGTCTAATCTCGCTTTTCACGAACCCGATACGCAATCCCGGTTCTACGCCATGAACCACCTCGCGGCATGGAATCTTGACTTTACTTCTTGCGAGTGGCTCATCACGCTCTACTATCAGGCTTCTCGCAAAGAGCTATTCTCAATGCTCAATACTAATGGTTCCTCGAGTAAAACATGCCATATAGCGGCATGGTGACCGTTGAAGTCGTCGCAGCAATCTTTTACGAAACGCGGCCCATACGACGAGCAGATATCCGGCGACGAGACCAGCTGATCTATGCGACGAGGCGAACAGACCTTATGCGAGGAGGTGAACCACTGTTAGGCGAGGCGGCGCTCTGATATCGCGCGACGAGTACAGGGCAGAACGCGACGGTGTGTTTGACTGCGCTGGTAATCCGCGGCCGACGCGGCCTAAATCGCTGTTGTGATCGAGGTGAAGGTAGGCGAAGCAGGTTTCATTTTGTGGCGAGTATAAGGGCGCGTGTGATCTATTTTGAAGTTACGAAAAAATGTAACTTTAGATGGTTACCCGTTTCGCAAGCTTCGTCCAAAGTCATTCGCAAGGAGATGGGTTTAGCAGCCCACAAAAGTTCGAATGTGAAATGTGAACTTGACTCGATCGGCGTTGAGAACGTGCGTGCGCACGTTCGTGAGAGCATGTGCGATTTACAGCACGTACGAGGAGCGAACGAAACGGGCGAAAGCCTCGCGAAGCTGGAAATGGTCGGCGAAGACATCCCACGATTAAGGCTCTCGCCCGTGGCCACGTGGCAACATCCATGGCACCTAGACAAACCAGGTAACCTGCATTTATTGACACGCGTCTCGGCGCGTTTTTTACAAGATCGAATGTCGGGGTTCGACCTTGTACGTGTGATTGCAGTTTTACAGTGTTGCAGTTCCGAAGTTTGAACTCACTACAAGGAAAGTCAAATTCCATTGCTCAAAATCTCAAATCCGCCCTAGAAACATAAACTTTCACAAATTTCAAAGACCATCTCCAGAATCACTAGGGGTCTATCAACTGAGCAAACAGGCAACCATGTCCGCAGAGTTTTGGGCCCAGTTTGGCAGGCATAAAAAAACCGGGCGAGGGGGATGGGCTACAGTGAACCGACCACCCTGGAACCTTCCCTGATAAGCGTGTGAAATATTATCAAGGTTCGTCATAAGCGGACTACGCCGAACCTAACAATAATGGAATGCCAACCAAACACCCCGTTATCCGATGGCATTTCCAAGCCACCGTTTCCAGAGCGACCCCATTTTCCCTAGCAAAGAGCCCATTTTCGGACACCCCGCACCATGCGGCCTCGAGGCCCCGCACCATGCGGGGTATCAGTGATTCGAAGCAATCAAAAGTGACTGCCAGCCAATCACATGATCACGCGCAACTGCCCACCATCTTCGGCGAAACCCTAAATTTCGATTGATGCCATCAATCTACACCCAATTAATGCCAACCAAACACTCAGCCCCATTTTTTCGAAGGTGCACTGCAGCTACAGTCCGATTTCGAAGCTGTTTCTCGAAATGCCCAGGTGGCATTTTTTGGGGGCCCGTTAAAAATGCCCATCATGGCCATAATGGCGATGATGCCTGCCAAACTGGGCCTTGGTCTACACACCATCATGCGGGTCAAGTTCTAATCTGGCAAACTTGTTTCGGCGGTTGGTTTGCTCACCCCCACCCCCCCTCCCTCCTCCCGCCTCGACTTTCGTTTCTCCGCAAAAAGGTACAGTAACATAAAAAAAACGTAAGTGGGCAAGATTACTAATCCAAGTGTACTTTTGGGGAGAGTAGGACCCTGTTTTCAAGTGACAAAACCTTTGCCTCCCGCTTGAGGTATGTAGACCGCAGCTTTGATTGTTTTTTTGGGTTGCGAAGCAATCCTTCACAATCTATTTGGCCCATTCTATTTTCCAACATTCTATTTAAAGCTCTAGGCCCAAATTGCGCAAGATTAGTAATCTTGCGCAAGTTTGGGTGCTGGGGGATGGGCGATGTGAACACAAAAGTCGAGCGAAGTGACTTGTCTGATTTCGCCGCAACAGTTGTTTGCTTGCTGAGTCAGCAAGCTTCACAGGTGAAACGTGCGTTTGGGGACTACGAGTCCCAAATTGCAGAGAGGAGAAAGTTGAAGTTTTTGCGGTGAGTGCAGCTTTGACCAATCAGGTTGCATCGCCCCTACAGTAACCAGGTTTTCGCCAAGATACAGCACAAAAAAACGTAAGCTGCACGGCCCACAATTTGGGCCTTGAGCTTTAAAGCAGCAGTATACATTTGGAAGCGTCAAGCAATCGATTTCTGTCACGAACGACAAGTTCAAGCCCAACCCCTCTCACCTGACTCACTCTGTCATAATATAGAATTCATATATAATTACATGCATAGCTAGTAGTGTAGTATCATCCTATCTTGTCGCTAGGTGGTGTACCTCCCTTGGCCACCTCCCCTTTCCTACACCTTGGTACTCTCGTTGTTATTGCAAGCACCCTTCTTTGGCCCACTTCTCCTCTCTTCCCAAAACATTAGAGCCTCCAAAGTTAAATACCGTAAGCCCCCGGATAGAAGCGCAGGCCTCGGATAAGCGCCGGCGGATAAGCGCCGGCGCTTATAAAAGGATGAGGGCGCTTATATCCGGTCCTCGATTATAAGCGCACCCCCTAAAAATTCATGATATATTATAAGCGCATGCTGATTTTTTCTTGAAAAACTGTCGAATTACAGAAACGAATTTCACCTTAGCAGGAAAACGAAGCACAATTCAAGTTTCCCACTCACATCTCACTTGCTGCGCGTCTAGTCAGCACGTGCTGTCACTTAGTCAGCATGTGTTGGCAGGGAATCAATCCCTGCCAAGCTGCGCGAGAATCAGATTCGCGACCCCATATATTTTCGGCTCGATTACAATGGGCAGAACGAGATCTACAGTTTGGTGTATAACAAACTTAATTTCATTTTTGCCATTATATAAACGCCGGCGCTTATAAAAATCCTCGATTATAAGCCCAGCCCCTAAAGAACAGTGCTTTTTTATACCCCCAGGGATGTCGTGAGAATTAGGCAAAAGAGAGAGGGTTGAACTAGCAAGAATGGGGATACAAATAGCAAACCCTAGAAGGGTTGTACTCGCTACAGAGCACCCCACTGCAGGCTAGACAAATATAACATTCTGACACACCCCCATAGCCAAAGTGGGGTGTAATCAGCAGAGCAAGGAAAGCAGTACAAGCTCAGGGTGGATCACGATGTCACCACACATTCTGAGCACAAGTTCAAGAAGCAACAGTTTATAAGTTATGAGCAAAGCTAGAGGCGGTCACAGAGGACAAATGAGGAGGAGGAGGGCTGGCGAGAGGAGAAAGGAGTGGAGGCGACGACTGAAGCTGCAGACACACGGGCATCAGACGGCTCTGGCGCAACGCTAGTGGCTACCGGAAGCAGAGCCCCGGACTACAGGGGTAATAGTCGCTGCGGAGGGTGCAGCGGACCCACGGGCGACAGGTGCAGCCGGCTCTCTGAGCTACCGGAGGTCCGCGGAACCCCGGAATACAGG